CTGGCTCACCTAAATTATAAAATAGATAATACATGAGTTGTACTGGTTTACTTTGAGTGTGCAGCTGTAGAAACCAAATTTGATCATGGTGCTGTGGTTATAGCAATACAATGCTCTTCATCATATAAGAAATTAACCCACTTTTTGAGGTAGGTTCATTCTAAATAAAAAATTTCATAACTTAAATAAAACATAACTGTATTTAAAATATTCTGTTTAACAGAATGCTTCTCTGATAAATATATAAGCAAAATATATAGACCTAGTACTGTAGCCCTTCTTTAAAGTTTACTTCTAATCCCTCTAATTTTATATCTAATTTTCTTGTCAGAAATATATTAGTTCAGTCATATTTATTTTTTAAAACCAAAGGTATAAGAAGTTAAAGAATAACCTAGAGCATGTGGAATCAAATATTTAAACGTATGTAGGAAACTTCTGAATCCTGAGGTTGGTTACTTAGCTCTGCATTAATACTCAGTCTGTATATTATTGCACTAAGACAGATTTTTACCTTTCGTTTTGTTTTCTGCTGCTCTCACGCACACACATAGCTATGCTGTGAAAGAACTAATGTTTTTATTAAAGAGACAAGAATATTTTTCAGCCAAGAGTAATGTTTCATAAATGCAGAACATGAACCTTCATATGGTAGTTAGTGGTCAGAGTCCCGTTGTTTCATTAGTTGATGCTGCAATAGCTGAAAAAATAGAATGGCAGTTTGTTTCTTTTTTCTTGGATTTTTGTGAGGTGATTTGTTTGTTTGTTTGCTTAAGTTTGGGGTATTTTTCCCTTCCCTGGCTGTGATCTCTCTTCTTTTTGCAGGATGATCACTGTCTCTTCACCTGAATTGTTCACAGCTCCGTTTCATCCTCTCTTTCTTAATTTTACCCATGTGTATTTGTTTCCTCTAAAGAGATTTTTTCCCTGTTAGTTTTTCATTCTCCCATTAATCTAGTGCTGTGGTGAGAAATGCAGACTGTATAGAGGTGGGTAGTCATAGCCCAAAGCTTATGCCACTGAGTGCAGTCAGTATTTCACATGTTCATGTTATGGACTATTTTACCAACCACATATTTACTTTCTACTTAAAAAAACCCACAAACCCACAAAACCCCACCAAAACCCATAAGAATTAAAATTTAACTTTTTAATAAGAATTTTCTTTGGAATGTTAATTTGCAATAAAGGAGAATACACATAATTGACCAAAAAAACCCAAAAATAACATACTGAAGTAGCACTTTAAATGTGTACTTATTAATCCATAGTGTAAACTTTTTAAAAACTACTTCCTCGCTATCTTGGCTTTGTTTCACTTTATTACTGTGCATTATGATGAGAGCTTATTCATGAATTATTCTCAATACCATGCTGCTCCTTTAGTGTTTTGTTTTCACTGCGAGGTTCATCGTATCACTTCATGTGTACAATGTAGTTTCTTCCTCCCTGAAATGTCTTTTATGATATTGGTTGTTTCTTACAAAGAAGCAAAGTCCTAAATACACATATACTGAATATGCAAGCCTTTATTTGCATGCCTGTAAGTTGTTTTTCCTACTTCTTGAATTGCTACGCTACACTGATGGTTTGATTAAAAGTTTCCCAATGTAGCTTTGATTTCATTAACTCAGCTAATAGAACTAACAGTTGAAATTTTTCAGCCTAGAGTTAGAAATGCTAACTGGTCATAACTACTACTGGTCATAACTACTGTACAAAGGTGGTGTATGTAAAATTTTCCAAATATTGAAAAACATGGATTCTTCTTGACAAACAGTGAGCTACTGCGATATAGCAATTTTAACTCTTGTTACAGTTGAGGAATAGAAAGAAAGAAAACAAAACACCACAACAAAACATGTCTATCAGTCAAGCTATTAATTGTTGCATGCTGTTCTGATGTTTTTTAAGAAAGAAACTATCTCATGTTGACCTGTCAATTTTTTTTCACCTAACTGCATGATATTTTAAATTCCATAAGTAAGTGACTCTTCTATCGTTTTCAGTGACATAAAATTTGAGTTCTGGTTTCACTGATTCTCAGTCTCTACATCTGGAATTGAATCCCACCTTGTTTGCCAGTTATGTAACAGATGCAGCTTTGCTCTCAACACACCAGATGTAGTATTTGGACCCAGATATTCCTATGTGGTTTCTTCATAATGTTTGTTGTATAAACTAATCCCATCACTCAATCCCATCAGTCTCTTTGTCTTTTGTTTACTCTCATCTGTTTGCTCACATCACCATACTTAAAAAAACTTCCTAGTGTAAGGGACAGCCTTCTTGAATCGCTATCCTTAGTTACCAGCTGGTGCTAGCAGCCACGTCCTGTGCCTCGTGGAACATCTGTATAAGCCCTCTTTAAAGCAGTGGTGTTGCTTGTCTCTGCAGCTCCTAACGGAAGGCTCTTGCAGAAGGTGGCAGCTCTGGTGGTGAAAAGCTCTACTCTGATTTTCTTCTTGCTCATGTTCATGCTGCCATTTATTGTCATGCTAGGGGGGCCCTGTAGCCTTCTTCCTTTGTAACTTCGGCTGCCTTAGAGCAACCACATCCCCTCTCAACCTTTGTTTTGTTAGTTAAATATACCAGTCCCTTCTACTCTTCTCTTTGTCAAGGTTTAGGGTCAGGGCTGTCCCCAGACCTGTAACAGATGCTCTCTGTTAGCCCTTCTCCCCCCAGAAAAGGGGAAGAGAAAGGGATTAAGGGAGACTTATCGATAAGAAAAGTAGAACAGCTTTAATGAAAATACTACTACTACTACTACTAATAAAATGGAATATATACAAATATATGCAAACCTGATATTGAACCTACCCCCCCCATGGCAATGTGTCACTGTCACCTCCGATTTTGGCAGCGGGCCCTGTGGAGAAGTCCCAGGCTGGACACAGCAGCAGATGGCAACTGGTACAGGAGCTGGATTCTGATATTCTTCTAATGTATTTATGGAGAGGGTTTCTATTTTAAGTATCTGGATTTGGAGGAATTTTTCCCATTGAATATCTGTATAATTTATTTATTATGGCAGTAATGCTGGGAAAGAAATTGAATTAATACTGACAGCCTCTTAGATTTACAACTTTCCCAGGTGATCAGAAAGGGAAAGTGAACAGATTTTTTTTTTGCTGCTGCTGCTGTTGTTGTTGTTGTTTCTGTCTTATATACAGAATTTTCAATGATCTTTACTAGTGATGTGGCCTTAGCTTTGATGCAGTTTCAGTTAGGAGAGATTATCAGAAATGCCTTTTTATTGTGCATATAATTTGTGTAAAACATGTTTCGTAATTACTAATCTTTCAGTGAAAACTTAAATTCTAAAAGTGTTATCTCCTGTGGATTTGCTGTTTCAGACTCATTGTGGGAAAAATTTGGGGTGTTTTGTTTTTTTTTTTTTTTTTCCCCAAGAATTTTTTTTTATAGAACCACTGAAATTTTTTGGGTAAAAAAATCTTGAGTATTGAGTAGTATTTGAAACTGCTCTAGATCTTTGAAGGCTGTTTTCTCCTGAATTAAAAAAAAAAAACACCCCAGATATCTATCTACAGCAGTTTCTTTAACTAGATTTCTGTACCTCTAATAGACTATATTTTTAATAAACCGTTTAAATGAGTGGTGAGAATGAGACTGTGGCAGGTGCAGCAAAGGAAGTTAATTCATTGCCGGTTCTGTTTAACCTCAGTGTTCAAATTTTTTTCAAAGAATTCAGTTATGCGTAAATAGGGAAACCTTGAAAAGTTAACTTCAGTGGTTTATGAAAACTTAGAGCAGGAAAAAAGACTTGTAACATTTGGTTTCCTTGTCTTGCTTGGAATCTGTACATATTTCTTACCAGTAGTCTCTTATGTGTTGCCATTGATGTGGCACAAGAAAGAATGAGATAAAAATTACTCAGGAAATGGCAATGATCCTTTAGATTGTATGTGTTGTATAACTAATTCTCAAAAACTTGGGCTTGTGAAGTAAGTATAAACAAATAAATTTCAGCATCTTCAATAGATAACATAAATGCTTACAGAAGAATCGTTTTTACTGTTTCCCAAGCTGTTAACACAGGTATCTGTCTATAAATCACATATATATCATATTCCTTTCGTTTAATATGGTTTTTTTTTGTTTTCAGAAAATGACTTGTTCAATTTTTGTCATTCCATTACTGTAACTGTGGATTGTGGTGTGTGATCTTTAAATTTTTGTGGTTTTTGAAGTGCAGTTGAAATTATTATGAACTTTTTTGGGGTTTGTTTGACTTGTTTTGTTTTGTTTTTTTAGCACTGTGGGCTTTATTACAGTTGGAATCTTGATAGATAGTGAAAACTGAGTGAACAAATTCCTTTTTCAGTAGTTGAATGTAAGCTGTGCTGTTTTACAGGAGATATATGAGGTAGTTCAGTAAAAGCTAAACCTTTTCTTTTTGTGTGGTGGTTGATGGAGTTTCTGGTAGTAGTTTCACCAGACAATGCTTAATATTTAAGAGATATTTTCAGCTCAATTTTGAAATAGTATATTTTTAAACTAGTAGCTGAGATTTTGTTTGTCACTTTGTTTACTTTGCTTCCAGATTTTTGAATCTGGGGATTACTCCTTTCATTTTTGCTAGCCTCTGCTTATATGAAAAAAATGCCTCCTTTTGCAGAACTGAGAAGTGGATCTAGCCGTTAATCACTTAAACTGGTTATACATTAAGTGGTCTCTACTGCAGGATAAACTAGAAGTAAGTTTTGTTACCAGTTTTTGAACTGGTACTGTGTAACTGGAGCAAATTTTCTTTTGTTTGCCTTGTCTTGCATCTTTTTTGGTGAAGGGCCTTGCTTCTGAGACCAGAAGCTTGCCTTTTGATTTTTGTAATACCCTTTGAGGTTTCAAATCTACATTTTTCTACCCACTCTTGACAAGATTTAGTTGGTATGCAGCTGAGTGTATGGTCTGTTTAATTTCTGTTACTGAATTTAAAGTTCTAGAAAAGTAAATTTTAATTTTTTCCCTTTTTTTTTTTTTTTTTTAGTGATTGGGAGATGGGAAGTAATGATAGCTGGCACCTGAACTGAAATATCTGTGTAGGCACTACTATCCCAGAACTTCAGGATGAATGGGGATATGCCTCATGTTCCCATCACTACTCTTGCAGGGATTGCTAGTCTTACCGACCGTAAGTACTCTTCTTTTTCTTGTCTTTGCTATGCTCTTTTCCACCTCTTTGGAAAAATACCTGAATTTTCAAAATAACTAAAAATAGTTTTAATTTAAAAGTTCTTGGAGGTAAATCTGTTGAAAATCAGATTTGGCATTAAAAATGTTAACTTTGTCATTGCTTGAATTTTAAAAATCTTTTTGAAGAAAGCATGCTAATCTAAACATGAAATGAAATGTAGTGTAAAAAAAAACACAAAACCACAACAACAAAAACCGAACCCCCCCTCAAAAAAACATAAAGGAAACCTGCAACAAAATACAGGAATTCATTGTTTGTTTGGAATATTGTTCAGCATATCTGGTACCCCACAAATAAAGAAAAAGGTACAAAATATAAAATACTTCTCTGAAGCATAGATTGAATCATCTTCACCGAAGAGGGAGGGGGTGAGGATTAGTCTGATACTGAGTAGCTAGAGAGAGTTGTGGAATATGCTGAATATAATTGAAATCTAGTTCCTTAGTTTTGGACAAGGTACAAAAAAGTTGCTGTAATGGGTAGGTGCAAGGAATAGCTGCTAGAGTGGAAATAAGCAGCTGAACCTAGGAGTTTTTTTTCTTATCTGTTTAGCCTACAAAAAGAGATGAGGTGTGTGCACTGTCTGTAAATGTCAGGAGGCCAAAATGCAAGGAAAGCAAAACAACTATTTACGTTAAAAGCTGATACTGGCACAAACCCAAATGGTTATAATGTGAACTAGAGTAAATTTCTAGTGAAAACTAAGAGATTTATTATTACTGTAATGACATCCTAGAATAACCATTGCAATAAGAGCATTGGGGACAAAGATGCATTCTTGTCCATGAAGTGTAAGAATGAACTTATAGCTCAGTTGTCTGAGGATAATTGGACTCAGTGACTCAGGTGCTTCTTCTGAGGTCTTATTTTTATTATTATACTGTTGAAATTTGGAGATTTTCCAAGAGACACTGAAAGTATATACTCAGCAATTGAACTTAATTGTCTTCAGTAAAAAAACAGATGTTTTAGAGGAAAAACCCCAATTCATGTCTTTCTGACATTTTGCAATATCAAATCTGAAAATGCTGCTTATGAATTTAGATCTGTATATACGTCTCATTACCTCTGTCTAATAATGGACCGTCAGGATGCAAATAATACTTTTCCAGGCTATGGGCAGTATTTGCAGGTAAAGGTCTAAAGAAGGTCAAAATACATAAGGGGTAAAACTCACTGGCCAGACTCTTGGTGCAAGAGTTTCCTGAAACGCTGAGCTGTTGATGGGATTAGCCCCTGCGTTAGGTGCATTTGCTTCTTTTTCTGTCCTGTTTTTCCAGTGTTTAGAAACTCAGGAGCAGCTGAAATAGAAAGGCTTGCAGCTGCTTCAACTTAATTTTCTCTGTGTGAAAAGAAGGAACTGGAACGAGCAAGGCCTGTTGCTGTGAAAATACAGAGGACATAATGACTAGAGGCAGTAGAATAGACTAGTTCACTAACTGAATTTGTACAGTTTTCATAAATGTTTTGCTGATCCTTGCTAATTTTTTCAAGTTTCTGACACATTCAAGGTCATCTGATGCAAATAATGAAAGCTTGTTATTTTAATGTATTATACAGTAAAGATGTACATTATATAGGGGGAAAAAATACGGGAGTATTCCCCCCACACACTTTTTGCTTCTAGTGAAGAATTTTAAAATATAAAAAGAGCCAGAAGATTATATTTTGCTTAAGATTTTTTTTTCTTTTCTAAAGCCAATTCTAATGGTTCAATGGAAACCTTTATCTCAGACCTGTAATCAGTCTGAGAACTTCAGAAGTTAGTCAGCTTATTTTCGTGGTTCCATGAAAGTGACTTTTGCATGTAGCTAGCTTTTTCACCTGGTATTCATATAATAAGAGGATTATTTTCCTGTTGCTTACGTAGCTCTGCCCATCATGTGATCAAGGCTTCTAGTATGGTTCACTTCCCTGTTCTGTCTGTAGACCTATGACCTCTGAAAGTATAGTGTGCTCATTTAAAATCTAATTGTACTACCTTGATGGGTGTTTAAATGTTTTACCAAAATTTGAGAATAGCTACATTGACTGAATTGACATTTCAGTGCTCATACCAACTAACAATACTAGCCATTTCTGGAGAAGATGACTTAGAAATAAAACCAGCAAGAGGAGAATAAACTGAGAATATAATTAGTGGCTTATGTTGTTTGCTGGGTTGTGTTTTTTTTTGTTGGGGTGTGTGTGTGTTTGTTTCTTGGTTAGTGGCTTGTTTTTTTTATATACCTTGACCATACAAAGGAGGAACACTAATTAAATATGAATATTAGAGTAGTAAACTTAAAGCATATGCTTGATGCACTTACAGTACTGTGCACAGCTACACGAATTTTGCATTTCCATCCTTAATCAATGCTTTTGGCTCAAAGAGAAAGCTGCCATGACATACTAAATAACTTTAAATTTGAAATTTTTAGAAGAATGTTTTAATTGATAATACTTGCCTTAGCCCAGTTAAATAGTTACAATAATATAGTAATATAACTTGTGGACTTGTCGGCATTACTTGGCTTAAAACAGAGTCCAGCCATTGTGTGTGTGTTCATGATTGAAAAAAAATTATCCAGAGATCTTCCCTGTATTTTAAGTGCGACTGTCAAGTTTTCTTTCTTAATCACAAGGAATTAAGAATGTGTCCACATTCGTATGCTTATGTTTCATGAAATGATTCTGAACTCCTTTCTGTTCTCTAATAACAGTTTTGAACCAGCTGCCTCTTCCTTCACCCTTACCTGCTACAACAACAAAAAGCCTGCTTTTCAATGGACGGATAGCTGAAGAGGTGAACTGCCTTCTGGCTTGCAGGGATGAAAATCTGGTTTCACAGCTTGTCCACAGTCTCAATCAGGTGTCAACAGATCACATGTATGTATTTTGAACTTCAGCTATAGCAGATCACCATCCTTATTCCTTGAAATCAGAATTAACTGGATTGAGAAGGATGTTTGTGATAATCTGAAAATTAGAATGTGAAGGCTTTTTATTGGGCTTGCTTAGCAGGTGACTGCTATATAAAACTCAAATGTGCTCTTACAAGAGACAGTATTACACAAAAAGAAAATTTTTCAGACTCTCATGTCAATTCTTGATTAGGTGGTAAACATTTTAAGAATTGAACCAAGAAGTATGTTAATGTATTATCTTTTTGTTAATTTGTTTCTTTTTTTAAATTTTAATTTTTCCTACTGTCCTTTGTATTGTCTTATGTTGACAAAACTGTCTTTTTTCTACATATTCCAATCAATTGTTTTGGTCAAATGGAAATACCTTTTAAAAGCCCTCAAAGCAAACAATAAGTGAAAGCACAGATGCATTTATAGAAAATCATTAAATCTTTGTTATGGTTCTGAGGGAATCTCGTGTTGTCAAAGACATGCCGATTTCCCTTTGTAAAATAAAAGATTCTCAAAACGTTGGCTGCAACCTGAATGTTATACATTGATGCATGTGTTATTCTTACTCCTACAACAGTACTTTCTTGATGTTATGCCAAAGTGTTATTTATCGAGATCATGGTATAAAAGTGGGCATAAGAAACTTTTTATGATAGTCTGAGACTGACAGACATGTATGTGTAAGTGCTTAGTGACAGAAAATTTTGAAGACTAGAAGACATACCTCTTCTGTCAGTCCTTCAAAAAGAGACAAAAAAAAAATAGAGGCAGGGAACTGCTCTGCAGACTTGTTTTTTCTATATTTTAACAGTAAATTGTCTTCTTTCATTTTGGTTTTGTTTTTATTTTGGGTTTTTTTGTTTTCTTTTGTTTTGTTATTTTACTTGACTCATAGTTTCTTATAATTTGAAAATGCATTTGCCTCTTTATTTGCTTACTTCCACAATTCCAGAGAGTTGAAAGATAACCTTGGCAGTGATGATCCAGAGGGAGATATACCAGTCTTGCTGCAGGCTATCCTGGCAAGGAATCCTAATGTTTTCAGGGAGAAAAGCATGCAAAACAGATACGGGGTACAAAGCGGTAAGGACTTTTGATTTTTTTTAAATTGACTGCATTTTGTGTTCTGTAAGTTTAGGGGACTGATAATAACCACAAATACACAGAAAGCACAACTGTGATATTTATGCCTTCTATTTCATAGTGGTATATAGCTATGTACCTTGACATCATCTAAGAGCGATTGCATTAGAATAAGTATGGAAATAAACTCTACCACATATTTTTGTTAAAAAAAAAAAAAAAGGTTTATTTCATGACAAGTTTCATCTCTGGGGTAAGTGATTGGATTTAGTGTCAAAATAATTTTATTTGGGTTTCTTTATGGCTATGTATTTGTCTTAGTAAATAGTTGAAGGTGGAAAAATATGCCTTGATCTTACTGAAATTCAGTACAATTGTGTATTATTGCAGTGGTAGTTCTTAAGAGTTTTTGGGGTAAGGAATAAGGTTGAATGAACCACGGATAACAGCATCTCCCTGGCATTCCTTGTCTCAGCAGTAGAATGACCTACAGAGCTTACTCCGTTGACAACCAATTCTCTTCTGAGGTGTAGTGAGATTTACTACTGGATAGCAAAGATTAAGAAGGAAAAAGAACAAGTAAAGGATTAATTGACAGATCCTTGTTATAGATTAGGAGACTTGCACCTGAAGTGTATTTTTTAAATACCAAACTATGAAATGAGTTGGAGGATTTCTGGTGTTTCCACTGTGATGTGAAAGCTTTGCTAGCACTCTATGTATCCATATCCATATCCATAAAGGTGTTACTGGAGTCCACAGGGAATACAAAGTACAGGGTGGTTTTGGAGGGGAGAAATAATAAAATGAGATTATTAGCTTAATTCACTTAGGCTAGTGAGTAAAAAAGCCTTATAGTATTTGAAAAGAACTTGCTAAGGACAGAACACATAAAGTTCCTTGGAAGAAGGCAGAAATTTCCTGGAATGAAAATGTGAAAGGCAGTACTAAATATTTGTAAATTCATTGATATCTATCTTGACATTTAAACTCTGAAAACAGACTTAAGGTCCTGTGTTTACTAGTAGCAGTGGCGCGGAGTATGATTCATCGAGCTTGTGAGAAGAATTGTGACTGTCCTGCCAGTTTTCACATTGGTCTCCCAAAGAACATATGGCTGAAGTAGAGTTTTCCACCAGTTTCCTAGAGTAAAATAATTGTTTGCCAGTGCAAAAGGGAGACATTGTTTTCTAAATTGTTTGTTCCACTAGAGACTTTTGAAAGAAAGAAGACAAAGCTAGTTAATTTCTTTCCAATTTCTTGCTCATTCTGTGCTTCCTAAGGAGAAACACTTTGGCAACTTGATGGAATACATTGAGAATAATCCTTAATGAAATATGTCCAGCAGAACAAGGGAGGTCCTCCTCCCCCTCTGCTCTGCCCTGGTGAGGCCTCACCTGGATTGTGGTGTCCAGTTCTAGGCTCCCCATTTCAAGAGAGACAGAGATCTACTCAAAAGAGTCCTGTAGAGGGCTACAAGGATGACTGGGGGATTGGAACACCTGCTGTGTGAGGAGAGGCTGAGAGACCTGGGGCTTTTTAGTCTGGAGGAGAGAAGGCTTAGGGGGTATATAATTAATGGGTATAAATATATGCGGGCTGGGCATCACTAAGAAAGGGGCAACCTCTTTTCACTTATGCCCTGTGACAGGATGAGGGGCAGTGGACGCAAACTGGAGCCCAGGAAGTTCCACCTTAACAAGAGGAAGAACTTCTTTACTGTAAGGGTTCCAGAGCACTGGAACAGGCTCCCCAGGGAGGTTGTGGAGTCTCCTTCCTTGGAGGCTTTTAGGACCCGTCTGGATGGGTTCCTGTGTGACCTGCCCTAGACTAGATGGTCCTGCTCTGGCAGGGGGGTTGGACTCGACGATCTCCAGAGGTCCCTTCCAACCCCTAACATTCTGTGCTTCTGAAGTAAAAGCACCTCTATCTTTAGTTATGGGAAAAATTCCTCCAGATCCAGAGTCTTAAACTAGAAACCTTCTGGAAACCTAGAAGAAACTTGAACTGGCAAGATCCAGACCTGAGTGGAGTATGTGCAGTAAGCTAGGATGGTCAGGGGAAGAGTAAACTTTTGTCATAAGAGAAGAGTAGAAAGGGATAGGTATGTAGAGTAACTGGGGCTTTGGTAGAGATCTTACCTAATGTGTTTTGCAAGCTAGAAGAAACACATTTAGAGTCTTTTCTAGTATTTCAAATTAATCTCTTCTGCTTTTGTTACGTCTGAATGTTGTCTCTCTGCCTTCTGTTAACCAGCATGCAGTGAATTTGGTGCTGGGTACTGTGACTGTGTATTTGCAGTAGCCACAACTGAGAAGGAATGAAGGCAGCAGGACCTCCAGTCTATTTACTCAGTCAGGGGTGGGTCTGTACACCATGATCCTTTGAGTGTGAGTTCTAGCACTAGTATGTACAAAATGAACTCAGATTCATTTCTCCTAGCCTTAATTTCTCATGCAAGAACAGGAGGATCACCTAGCTAAAGAATTAATTTAAACACTGAATAATGCTCTTTGTTCAGTATAGTTTGTTGGGAAATAAAGATGTCTTTAGAAAGCCAAATGCTGTGGTTGGAATTCTTGTGAATCTAAGATAAAGTACAAGCAGAATTCTGTGCTTTTGTTTTTTTTCCCAAGGTCATACTGATTGGTAGTTAAACACTAAGTGTAGAGGAAGAACTGTTTTTAGTTATGGTGAACAAATAATGCAAGTAGGAAGTATTTTGTGGACATCTTCGCTTTGTGTCCTGCGTGGGTACCTTCCACCTTCACCACTGCTGGCCTTTGGTTTAGTTTCTAAAAGTTTCTAAAAGGCCCCCACCACAGGCCTTTTAACTGTTTAGTTTCAGGTAACATAGCAACAATGTTCTTATTCCTTGTCTTTGAATAACAGTCATATAGTTAAATTTTTTTAGATTAGTTTTTTATTTAGATTTTTTGGACTGTTTACCAGGTTGTCTGAACAGACTGGATCACATCACCATGTGGCATCAGCCCTAACTATACTAGGGCAAAATGTTAATTTTATTTTAGACTTTTTTCATCAGATGACATATGAAGTTCTTTGTGCTGTCTTGCAACTATGTATGTCTTGCATCTTGTGGTGTGAGTGAAGTGGATTTCTTTATAATTGTTTATTTAAAATTAAGATATTTTTTAGTTTAAGTTTTTATGATTTTTTTTTTCTTTTTACCCATTCAACACCTTGGCTTTATCTTTCAGCAGATATGTGCTGGAAGATCAGCTAAAATAGTATATTTCAATAGGTTAGTATTCGTAGCATTGCTTCAGGTTCAGAAAGGACTTAGTACTCACTTTAAGCTATTTATCAGAACTTCTGAATTTTTGGGGATTAGAATCTTGTGTGTCTTTCCAGAAACATCAATTACTTAGATTTTTTTTTTCATTTATACAATAATTCAAGTGCATGTGTACCTGCAAAAGGGAAAACATTTGCAGATGGTCACTTTCCATAAGAGTGTGTATTTAACTGAAAAATCACCTGTGGTGAGCAGTCCTAGCTAAAGCATGCATAATGATGTAATACAGTTTAACCATACAAGGCTTTTTCTGTGATCTGTGCTGTGTTTTGGTGTAGTGCAATCTTTGGCATTTAGAAGGAATGTTAAAATGGATTTATGCATATAACTTTTTTTCCAAGCCAAAAAATTGTAACCAAGGCTGGGACTGTGTGTTAAGGAAACTCACTCTATTACTGTGTTTACTAGGATAATGTATTCTCAAACCTGAACATTACCAACATTCAAAGTTAAGGTTGCATTTAGAAGAATTTTTTAAACATTTAAGGTATAGAAATGCACAGTGGAGCCATAAATCTGCTGCGTAGTGATACGACAACAAGGTAAAGAATGTACAAGAATATATTTTAGTGCTAACAGCCACAGACTGATTTCACCTCCTTTTTAAACTAAATGTTTAGGGCTTATTTTTACTGATTTCTCATGACGTAACTATCACGCATTATTGTTATCTGTTGAGAAAATTTAGAGACAGTGGGGTTTTTTTTGTTATAGTTGGCTGGTTGTTGTTTTGTTTTGTTTTTCTTCTAAGTTACCTAGACTGTGCCTTCCATATCCTACTGCTCCCTCAACAAAGATAAAGAAGCATGAGCTTGTTCTTCACAGAATTAAGTTTTAGGGCTTTTTAAAATAACATTGAAAATAATTTCATTTATATATTTTTCTGTCATTCTTTTAAACCAAAACCTACCGTATCTGTGGTTCAAAATGTTTTAAATTTAGGGAAAAGAAAATTAATAGAACTATATTTAAAGTATTTTAAAAGTGCTGTCTGTGCTTTAAGCGTAAAATGAAACTTTGTATAGTTCATGGTTGTACGGACACATTCTGTCAGCTTTCTGTATGTGAATGTTAAGAGTTAGTAGTTTCAGTTATTGTGTGCTGGGAACTGCTTCCAACACAAAGCCTCTGGAGCTTCCTCCTTACTTGCCTTTATGCGAGGTAACCAGTGTACATTTTAAAAAATCTCTTTTTTTAAGGATCTGAAAAGTCCTGTTCTTTACTCAGCACAATGAAATGTCCTCCGTATTGAAGTATGGAGGTTTGTAGTTTTTGGGGTTTTTTTTCAGCAAAAGATGGAACTTTCACTCCTGCTCTGGGCTAGTTTTCCTGCGCTAATGTACTTGGAATGCAGCACTTCACACCTCCTGGGAGGTAGAAACGGCTGCATTCCAATATCACATCTCTGCTGGGGTGTCAGGGAGAGAGGAGAGGGTGATGGGGAGAATTTCTGAAACTAGGTTTGTTTGTGTGAATGTTACAGTAATTGAAATCAGTGATAGCAGTTGAAGGATTGACAACTACCAAACACTCTGGATTGGGTACTTTGGTCAGTCTCCTGTCTAACCTTTTGTTTGAAATATTTGTACTGCTGATGTGCTTTTACCCACAACGGTGGATCTCTTGCTGTGGGTTCCCAAGCTGCAGTGAGCACGTGAAAGAATTCAGCGTGAAACACTTTTATCTGCAAGACGTTCTGTTGTGTCATTAAAATTCATTTAAGTTGCTGTGTTTCTGCATCACATCAACTTCCAGGGTCATGCTGTTCTTAGGGAATACTTTATACCTGTACTGAAGACAGAAAAAAAGAAACCAAAGTATCTTTTCAGATTCTTTCTAACAGTTGTGTGAATTGGAGTAGCACTTCGTTTGGAAGGGACCTACAGTGATGGTCCTGTCCAACTACCTGACTACTTCAGGGCTGACTGAAAGTTCAAGTAAATTATTAAGGGCATTGTCCAAATGCCTCTTACAATAGTTAGTTTCAAGCACTTGTGGCTTACAAGGTCCTGAATTTCCAAAGTGTGACGGTGGGGATCTATAGGCTGTGGTAGCCTACAGTTGGGATATTGGTTTTGCTATGCAATTGAAATATTTCAGCACCTTCTTTGATAACATTCTTATAAGCATAGTGGTGGTGGAACAGAAAGCTTTTGTCCCTGGGTAGAACGGAACCACTAAGGTTTTATGGGAGCAGTGAAAATATGTTGGAGCTCTCAGCCCAAGATGATTGTTTGCTGTACTTGCTTTAAAAATGGGAGATAAGTTTTATGTGTTCCGATTTGCAAAGTTTTAAAATCTGTTACTTATTGGCACAACAAGTGCTGTGCACATCAGTTTAGGGTGTGAAATATGTGTCCTGTTATAAAATGTTTCTCTTTACTGGTAGGTTCTAGTTTGGGAAGCTCTAAGGAAAAAAAGAAGGAATGACTGTTAGTATTTATAACTGAATTAACACTGCTTTATGGAACACTTTTTAATGTCATGATGTAAAATGGACATCTTAGGTGGAATCGATAATTTCTCATGTTTTCTAAACAGTTTTTCTAAAAGTTTATAATATCTTTGCATATAGTAATTTCTGAAATGAGACAGTTGATTAAAAATGATATGTGTGTAAAGTAATGCTGCTGTCTTCTTTTCAATAGGGATGATGATGTCGCAATTTAATATATCTCAGAATTCCATGCGTGGTAGTCCTGCATCTTCCAATTATCAACAAACCACTATCTCTCATAGTCCTTCCAGGTAATATGTTCTTTTAAATGGGGTGGGAGAGGCAGCAAACTGCAAATTCTTCTTCCAGTAACAGTCAATCCTTGTTGCAAGTATGTGAGTGGAAGGTGATCAGTGTCAAGACAAATTTTGCATTTGTCTGTCAGCAGGGTGGGTTTCTTCATCTGGCAAAGAAACATCCTTCTGTCAGTTGATTAATCCTTGTATTCTAACGATTAGTCGTGATTCTCTGCTCTTTATCCCTCCCATAATTCTGGCAAACTTTCTTTCCTGCTTAAGGAGTCCTTCTGTCTCCTGCTATACCTCCAGCTATTTTCTACTTGTGATAGAGGCTGTGGCTGGTGGCGGGAGGATAGGAGAGAAGAGGCTAATGTAGTCCAGCACGTATAACAGTACTAGTGTGACAGGAGGGTGGGAAAGAAGGCTTGTAAAAGCAATGAGCACTGCTGTAACAATTATACAAAAGGCCACACATGGGAGGATAGGCCTGGAGGTTGGGCTGGTCTTCAGCAGCATCCTCATCAACTTTCTGGTACCTTCTAAAACTCTTGAGCATTGCCAAGTAGCATGTACTTATAATCCAGGCCTCTATTACTATAATAAAGTATTCTGGACTAGAGGAAAGAGTTCTTCCTCAGAAGAGTTCAACCCGGCCACCAGGCTTTAACAGATTTAAGCTTTAGTTACTAGATATGGTTATTAAAATAAATTTGTTTCACATTTCACTTCAAGTTATGGTAATTTTTTCAGCAAATGGAATGCTCTGTATCAGTACAAAAATCAGTACGCTGTTTTATATGTAAAAGGGATACTGAAGATTTTTTGAGTTGTGGATATTGCAACAAATACTACAAAATCTTCTCAAAATCCTTGTGGTAGATACTTGCTGTTTCTTTCTGTGAAAGCTTACATTTGTGGAGTTGCTATCTAGAGCTGTGAAGGCATTTAATGTACTTTGTGAAGTTTTGGTTTATTTGGCTTATTTTTACACTGAAAAGCTCATATAGGAATGTAAGTAATAATATGCATATAGTATTGTCACAAGCCTATATGATTCTTATGGCTTCCTATCTGTAGGAGCAACCTAAGATAAAACCAGTGAAGTGATAAGTTGCATTCAGTAGACTTCAGGTCAGGTCCTACCTAACTGCCTGTCACATTCCTATATCTTGGGTGTGTAATTCTGTTAGATGATGTTCTTTGAAATCTTACTGGAAAAATTATATTTAGAGTATATGGCTCCCTGTTAATCCTAGTCATCTATTTATTGATTAAAACTTAGCTGTCACTTTCATTCAAACTTCTAGCAGTAACATTTGGAAATTGCAAATCTTATTTTTAGTATATATTTGTCTCATTTTTTCCTTTCCCTAGGTCTTATGAGTGATTTTATTCTATTCTTTACTTCTAAAGCAGTACCTAAGCTATAACTCTTGAAGTTGGGAAGGTATTGATACCTTACAATACTACTTTCAGGGAGATTATTATTGTGTTGTAGTTCTATATTTTAAACCATTCCAAAAGAAATAAGTTTGTCTACATTTACTCTTCCAACTTCTAAATTTTTTAAAAAAACTTTATTTTTAGCCGATTTGTGCCACCACAGACAAGCTCTGGTAACAGATTTTTGGCACAACAAAACAGTCCAGTGCCTAGTCCATATGCTCCTCCTCAAAGTCCTGCAGGATACATGCCATATTCACATCCTCCAAGTTACACACCACATCCTCAGATGCAGCAAGGTGAGTCTGTGATGTTTTACTCTCCTAGCTCATGTCAGCTTTTCCTTCAGGTGCATGTTTCACAGCTTTCTACCTTCTTTGAAGGAGTCACGTGCTTAACATAAGTCTTTGAGTTGGCAGGTATGTTTAAGCTTTGCTTTCCTGACTGTACAGTGTGAGAGTATATATTTTAATTTAAAAAAATGAAATAAAAAGAAAAAGAGAAGGTAGATTACATGTTTGTGTTCATTTTCCCTCTAAGTACACCCATTTTGCACAGTTGTCATGTATACATGATAGTAGAAAAACAATCACGGAAAAAAACTTGTTAGCTGTCACCATCAGTTTCCCGTAATAGCAAAATCCTCATTTTTGCCAATGTAATGTAATTTCTGCTGCCAGTTTATTTAGCCTAACCAGGCTGTTACAGTGTCAACTGGATTAATTCTAAATTGGCTAGAATTGTGCTCAAGGTACGCAGCAATTGGCAAAGATGACCTTTGGAATGAATGGATTTCTTTGTTCTTTTCAAAAATAATCTTGAACAACATGAACAATGTTAAAGTATCTATGCATATTTTTTTTTGCTGGTAAGTAGAATTCTCATTGGATTCTTTTAAATAATTTGTTCTTAAAGTTTAGCATTGTGTTTAGAGTTACATATGGCTGTTCTGGATGTAATGTTGTATGTCTCACTAATACTTTGGAAGTTACTAAAGGTAGTGAATACACGTTATATAGAGGGAAACAAAGTTTTCTATTACCATTAAGAAAGTGATACTGGCTGTAATTAGGTTAGATGGGGAAAGAAACTTGGCTAGTATGTACATGGAATTTGTTTTCAATCCTCTTGAAAATTAAAATCTTAGACGTCTGATTTTATTCAATTATTTTCAGCAAAACAGTTCAGTCAAAAAAGTTGATTAAAACTTTTCCAGTCCTCTTGCATCTAACTTAGTAATATCCACTGTTACGGTATTTTCTCTGAACGTTTTAGGAGTTAATGAGTGTGTGAATATATCAATATAGTTTCTCATTTATTTTTGTGTTTCAGCATCAGTATCCAGTCCCATAGTCACAGCTGGGATGAGGAATCTCCATGAAAATAAAATTTCAAGTCAGTTGTCTGGAAATTCAGCTAATCATCATGCTGATAATTCTAGACATGGCTCAAATGAAGACTACCTACAGATGGTGCATAGACTGAGCAGTGATGTATGTTACCTAAATCAGTATATTATGATAAAGGAAATATTTGACTATGATAAAACTGTCTTAGAAGTCAGATATTTTACTATGTTGTTGATGTATAAAACTGTTGAAAATATATTTCAGTTTCAGGTGCGTACACTCAACCATGTAATTTAATGTATGAGATTTTTTCTAAATCTCATCTTCCTTTGGAACCACTTGTAACAGTAATTCTGATGAAATTAGGAAAAGTAAAAAATCTTCAAATAATCTCCTATGTGAGTTTATTTTAAAGTCATGGTAGAATGTCTCTACAGTTATTGTAGCAATATGTTGATGGAAACAATACTAGATTCTAAATGGGTGTATAGTTAACTTTCTTACTGAAGATCCCCGCAACTGTCAGTTAGACTTGTCATATTTGAACAACATATTTGGTAATACTAATTTTCAAAGAGAAAGTATTTTGATTTATTCATCCCTAATGTTGAGATCAAAGCAATGCAACTACATCCTAGTTAATGAAAATTTAAAAATGAAACTTTCGAAAGGGACAGGATAAGAAAAGAAAAAGCATACCCTCATTGGCTCACTTAATTGGAAAAATACTAAATGTAAGAAGCAGTAAACATCGTGAACTTGCACTTTTATCCCTTCTTGGATTTTCTTAATGGAATTTATATGTTACATTCATTTTACTTGTAATTATAGGTTTAAAAGCTAATTTTAGCAGCTATCATGCAGAAGACAGCTTGAAAAATTTGGATTAATTGAAGTTTTGCATCTATGTATGAATAATAAGCTTAATCATAAAGTTGCAGCCCTTTTAGAAGCAGTGAGCCCTTTGAAGATAGTTATGAGTGAAGATTATTACATTTTACGTAAAATGTAGAAACCTTTTTTTTTTTTTATTCCTAATTTTAGGATTTTATTGCCTTAAAAATTATGAATGGTTACTGGATATTGTGTATTTGCAGTATATGATTCTACAAACTCAGCAAGTAGACTCTTGAAGGCATACTACATAAACACTCCATTTAAGGACAATTGAGTGCATTCCTGGAATATAAGCTTGTGCTTATGTATCACCATTTGGTGAAGCTTTGAACCAGGAGACTGTAAATGAGCACTTCTGAAAATCATCCTATAGCATGCTATTGCATGGCCTTATAGGTCATCTATCTAGTTAGTCTGTGTGGTTAATTTAATAAAAGTTGCCTTTGCCTGCATCTATGGCAGTCATAGAGTCATAGGATCACTATGATTGGAAAGGACCTCTAGGATTGTCATGTTTTCCAGCCCTCTCAGATGCCTTGTTGCCCTTCTCTGGACCCGCTCCAGCACCTCCATGTCCTTCTTATCCTGTGGTGCCCAAAACTGGACACAGGACTCGAGAGGTGTGGTCTCACCAGTGCCAAGTGCAGGGGCACAATCTCCTCCCTGCTCCTGCTGGTCACACCATTTCTGATAAAGGCCAGGATGCCATTGGCATTCTTGGTCAGGTTGTTTAAACAGGACTTGCCCTTCATGAACTTGCGTTGGCTGGACTCGGTCCCCCTGTTATCCAGTACTTGCCACGTGATCACCCCCAAGGCGAACCATTCCATAATCCTTCCTGACATCAAGGTCAGGCTGACAGGCCTGTAGTTCCCCAAATCCTCCTTCCTGCCCTTCTTGCAGATGAGCCTCATGTTGGCAAGTCTTTCCGGGACCTCCCCCATTAACCAGGACTGCTGGTAAATGATGGAGGGAGGCTTGGCAAGTTCCTTCACCAGCTCCCTCAACACTTGGGTGGATCTTATGCCACCCCATAGACTTAGGGGTGTCCAATTGGCTTAGCAGGTACTATTACATTCAGTTACTATTACAGGTACTTACATTAACTACTCTTTCCTGGATTATGAGGGGAGATGGGCCAGGTATATAAGTAGATTACCTCTCTTATCCTAATAAAACATATGTGCTAAAAAGTTACTAAGATTTTTTTCTATATTTTGTGGTTTTGGGGAGGTTTCTTAAAAGTCAAAGATAAGCCAGGTTTGAAAAAAAAATAACTTCATAATGTCAGTGTTTTAGGTAAATGAGTAACTCATTGAGAAATTAATTCATTTTGACTTACAACAACAACATACAAGTTTAAGATACAGCTCTTTTTATTGTGTTGAATTTGAATATTAGACTTCTTTGCCAATGAGGCTTTCCTCACAAGAGACAGCAAGTCTGTTTGCAAGCTCTTTTGCAAAATTCAGTGTAATTGATAGTACAGTGCAAGTTTTGGAGTCATTGTGCTGTGGGAGGAAAAAATGAACCTAGTAGAATTGTTTTTGAAATATGTTTGTATGGTGAAGTGGATTATATCTATTTTCTTACAGACTTATGTTCTTTGATGTGTAAGCACCTTCAGCCCATAAATTTCAAATCTGTTTGCAAGCTCTTTTGCAAAATTCAGTGTAATTGATAGTACAGTGCAAGTTTTGGAGTCATTGTGCTGTGGGAGGAAAAAATGAACCTAGTAGAATTGTTTTTGAAATATGTTTGTATGGTGAAGTGGATTATATCTATTTTCTTACAGACTTATGTTCTTTGATGTGTAAGCACCTTCAGCCCATAAATTTCAAACTCTTTCAAGGTGTGACACATAGATGGTCTAGTCTGGCTAGGGACATGGAAATTGCTTGTTTGGCCAGTGTAAGAGGGATTATGTACTAGCCCATCTATGCAGGCTTCTATCTCCTTGACACGCCAATTCAGACTTCTAACTTACTACCAGCTACTGATTTGTTTGGTTTTGTTTGTTTGATTGTTTTTTTAAATACAGGCTGTGTCTTTTAACATTCTATTAGTTGGAATGAGTCAAAAGGGTAAAAGATATTTATCAGACAGGTAATTCTGTTTTGGGAAAAAAAAAAAGTATATGAAAGAACTGTGTGTATTAAGATGCCTCAGTAGTAGCCATGTAAGAATAGTAGGTCCTGAAATAACCAATTTAAACCAGAAACATGAAATAACCTTAGAACATCTTTGGAGACTTTCTTTGTGTGACGTTACTCTCTAAAAGAACAGACTTTTTGCAATTTGTTTATCAATTATAGGAATTGTCTCTTCATAGATACAGGGGTTGTTATTTTTCCCCCAAACATTCCTGTAGATGCAGTATGAAAATAGTGCTAAAAATGGGAAATACTGTTCTAGGGAAGTTTAAATCTAGTTAGAGCACTGGGTGAATGAGTGTAGTCTGACCAGCAGAGGGCTGTATGAAAGCGATAAAAGAACCTCTTGTAGAACTTCAAATTGGAATTTGAATAGTGGGGTTTATATTTAATTTTAAGATAGTGTGTGTAGGGGTCTAAAAGACAAATTTATATTCTTAAAGACAGAGAATGAACATCATTATGTTGTAGTTACTATGAGAGTATGAAGAAGTCTGTCAGAGGTTGTGGATTTTGTTGAATTAGGTTGTTCTGTGCAATACTGGGATAACAGCAGAACTTGTTTGCCGTGTTGGGGACGTGCTTCATGTTGCCATTAAAGTGTTTCCTGTCTAACTGTCAGGACAGAAAATTAAAGTCACTCCAGCTGTATTTTACATGATACTGTCTCAGCTGCTACGGTGGGAAAGCCAGAGTTTTGTTCAGTCCCAATGTGTGTGTGATGGAGGATATAATTATGAGGTGTTAATAAATGTAACTGTAAAAATAAGATGGCATTCCAGATAACCTTTAAGGGTGGGTTAAGTGAAAAAATGGTGATTTTCTTTTGAAATGTATAATTTATGCTCTATTTTGTTTCAATGGTATTGTATAGGCATGATGTATCTGCTTTTAAGCTCTTCATTATGAGTGCTTGTAATGAAAGAGTTCTAAATGGAAACTTAGTGTAAACCAAAAAGTACTTATTTAGTTAGAAGACATTCTAACTTTTTTTTCTGTGCATGTTCTCGTTATAGATTCTTCTTAGAGCCAATTTTGCTTATGAGTATTGTCTATATAGTAGTCCAATAGCAGTACAAATTAAAAGATTTCTATGTAAAAAAAAAAATTTCTGTTATTTCTTGTATACCGTTTTGTCCAGTCCATTTTACCAGTCTATGTAGTAATTTCAATCTTTATCAAGTGTTCATGTTCAGAACATTAATCTTTTCTCATTGTCACTTTAGGATGGGGATCCTTCAATAAGGAATGCAGCCTCATTTTCCTTGCGGTCACCACAGTCAGTCTGCTCTCCAGCTGGAAGTGATGGAACCCTTAAAGGTAGCCTAGCAACCACATATATCAATGTATTTTTTCTCAGTTTTAAATAACAGAAAGTTTAAAGAGGTATTTAGTTACTCTTCCTGACTTCTGTATTTAAATATTCCTAGAGAGTATATCATTATGTTTTGGATACAAAATTCTTTTGAACCCTGATCTAGAAGAAATTTCTGAAGGTCTGAATATTGACTAATCATCCATCAAAACAAAACTCAAATTCATGGAGGACAGAAGGATTTTAAAATCCTTTCCAATATGAGGATGAAATTCTTTATAAAAATGGTTTCAGTTCTGTGTAGAAAGGGTTTAAAGGCAGCATTAAACTATTGAACTCTTAACCAGCTCAAAAGTGTTTTAACATGTAACAATTGTCTTAATTACAATTATGAAATTTTAAGAATATGCAATTAAAAGTAGTTCAATGAAATCAATACATACAACATAAAAGAAGATTGAAAACCTTAGATGTGGAGAAGGAATTGTGTGATCAGTCAGTTGAGAGCAAACAGAAAAAAATCTGCTCAGCATAATCCTTTATACTGAAATCTGGAATGCATACTGCTGGTTTTAATATTATCCCTAAGAAGCAATGACTGAGATACATGAGATTTATCAAGGTAGGGGTTTGGGCATATTCTTGCTAATTTACATGGCAATAATAGAAAGATGCAACAGTGCTTTCTTCTCTTTAGCCCCGAAACAAAGCTGAGTCTTTCTGGATGGCCAGGTTAGGTGGAGAGGGAGAACAGGAAGGGAGATAAGGAAGATTGCAGAGAAGATAAAAGTATTGTCCTTGTGCAGCCCAGAAGACACGTCTTTGGCACAGGTGGATCTTAGAGTAGCCTTCCCATACCTATGAGGAGATTACAAGGAAGACTTGAGTTGGACTTTTCAGTGTCAAGGAGGAAGGATGAGATTGAATGGATTTGAACTGAAATGGGAGGCTCTAACTAGGTCTAAGGAAAAACTTTTTCACTACTTGAGCATTGGAAGAGATTGCACAGACAATCTGTGCATTTTCCATTCTTGGAGGTTTTCACAATCAATCTGGGTAAAGCCCTGTGTAGTGTAACCTTGCTCACCCTGCTTTGAGCATGAGGATAGATGGAAGACCTCCTGAAGTCCATTCCTAACTCTATTACCCTGTGATGGTGTAAGTGCTGAATGATCTCTGTGGTTCATCGGTAGGCATGGGCTGTCTTAAACAGTGATAGAAGAAATGTGGCTCGAGTGGCAAGTGTATGTGTATAGCATGCGGGCAGCATCGGTATTTCAGGAGGTCTTATGCTAAATGACTTGTAAGACTTGTAAATAGTGAAGGCTAAATGTGGTGGTTTTCCTCTTTTTGTCAAGCATATCTGTTTAACAACGTTGTGAATCTAAGCTACTCGCTCTTAAACACTTGATAAACACTTAGCTAGGAGGATATTTGAGGCTTTTTTGGTTAAAGTTGCTTCTGTTTTAATTGACTACTATCAGAACCCTGTTTTGAAGGGATACCTTTTCAGATTATTTCTGAAAACAACCTGATTGTACAGTTCTGACTGTAATATTTCAGCATTAGAGGGGCTGAAAAAGTGCAAGAGGAGCTTTTTGACTTATTTACCTGTATGTTAGCTTTACTTTTCCTGTGGATAAAGCACGCAACTGAACTACTCTTACTAATGTTGCTGCCATTTTGCTTTCTTAAAGATGTTAATGATCCTTGATTGAGAGTAGCAGTTTGTGATGCTCCAATAATCTTGCCACACACTTCCTTACTCTAACCTCTAATCTCTCAAAGAGGTGTGGATAATTACAGTGTTGTTTAGAGCATGGGATCCCTGACAGTGTTTTTTGGCCTATGGTTTGGCATGAAAGGTGTGCTGATAAATTTTCAAGTGTTGAACAAACAGCAAGCATCTGTGCTGAGCTTTAGTTACTGTTCTCATTACCCCGGAAGGTTTGGTTGACAGGTCACAAACTTTGATACCGAAAATCAGCACAGTAGTTGGTTGTTTTGGAGAGCAAAAAGAAGGGTACTAGACATCATCAGTCCAGAGAGAGATCTCAGGAAAAATGCTATAATAGATAAGCTTTCTTACGTAACTTAGAAACTTGGGGCAACTACTGAAGGTACAGGTGTAAACTGCATTGCTGTACTTCTGACATGGAAGTACCAAGGACTTCTGGACACTTGGAGAATATGATTGCACAGTCTTTAATTACTTTGAGACTGAATGTAGCTGTCTGACTGACAGAATCTAAATGAATAAGTTTTTGCAACCCAGGCAAATATTTGAGAGATAGCAGAAGTTATATTTGTTATTTTGCTTAGGTATTCACTTACTCAGTGGAGTAAAATTACTGTTTGAGAAATCTTTGCTTATCTTGTGCTCCAGTAAAGGTACCGGAGCAGCTGAAGTTTTATCCTGAAGTTCTACGCTCAACTTTATCCTTTCCTTTTTATGTAAATTTAGAGTTTTAGCTAGGCCAACAGAATAATGGCTCTTATTTCATTCTGCCATCTGTTACCAGATCTGCTTTCTTTAGAAATTCATTTCTGTGAATTCATCGCTGAAGGATTAACATTGAGTATTTTCATTTTGTTGATTTCATAAAATATTCTGTGGGTTCCATTACCCAAGATCGATTACTCGTCAAAGTCCTTTAACTATTTGTTCTACTTTACCACGGCTGTGGAACCTCAGAAAAGACTTTTTTTGAAGTCAAATTCTAAAGATGTGTGTAAAGGAAGAAGACCTACTAGAACGTTTTTAGTCCATCACTTTCCGAAGATATAAGTTTCTAAAAGTTACAGTTCTGTTTCTGGACGGTTTCCCAAACTCATGGGAAAGTGTCTGTAGGGACTAAAATAATGCTTATAAAACTATATAATTTTTCACTCTTTTCCAGAAATTGTTAGTGAATATTTGATAATTTTCTGAATAATTTGGAAAGATTGCTTTCATTTTTAGGAATTTATAGGACTTCTCCGGAAAGTTTCCTCTACACTTGATCGCTGAATGTATAGTGGGTGCCAAGAAGAATTATGAAACTTCTTTAATCTGTAGTATAGACTTTGGTGCTCTCAAAGGTGTTTGCTAAAAAAAAAATCATCTCACCCTCTCTCCTTCAGAAGAAAGAAGAAATTTACTCTGACATTCATTCTTTTTTCTTTCTTCACTCTTAATTTTTTATGCAAGGGTGCTTCTGAATACAGTAGTCCTAAGCTAGAACAGCCAAGGCTGAGTTTTTTGTGAGGCATTTGAAGGACTGAGAAAATGGTAGGACTCTTCCCTGAAAACTGTTGAAAAGAGTGTGTGGAAAGTGAATACAATCTGTCCGTGAAACCCTCCCAAATATATGTTGTTCTTTAGTTTTCTCCTATGCTGTCCCTCTGAGTTTGAATTCTAAATAAAGTTATATTCTTTGAAAATGAAAGTTAACATTGTCTGTTGATCAAAATAAGTAAAGATTTCTTTGTCTAGTACAAAATTTGCAAACATTTCCAGGGGAAGATTCTGTGATTTTTAGAAAATACAGCAGGAAAGGACAGTAGTGGACTTTCCTTACTTCTGCCATGCAACTTGTTCAGATTCTTAGTGCTAGGAAGCTTTTCTCCCATTGAGAAACCTGAATCATTTTGGTTGCAGTTGGGTACGATGCTTCTTGATTTCTTTTCAATGGAGAGGGAAAACAATTCTCATCCTTTCTTTTATAACTGCCATTTACAAACTAAAGAATGCTATCATGTCTTGCACTGCCATAATCCTCTACAGACTGAACAGCATAGTTTCTTTCTATCATAATTTCTGAACTTCTCATTGTCTTTGATGCTTTTATCTGAATTCTAATTGGTTGGCATTTTTCTTGATGTTTTAGTGTGCAAAGTCATAGACACAATTCTGAAGATGTGGCAGGACAAGAAGTCATAAAAGTGCCATATGTACAAAGTACTTTGTATGATACAACTGCTGGGTATGAGGCTGTCTGCTCTTTGCTGATACCTTAGACTCATATTGCAAGTTGTTTTAAACAGATTGCTGTCTTTCTGTAGAGCTTACCTATCTTCCTCTCACGTTGTCGACAATTGCTTTTCTCAGATGACTAGAAGGTTTGTGCTTTTTCTCACTGAATTTCTTTTCGTTTAAAAGGCTATTCAGATCAGTCAAGAAAATTGGAATTTTTGATTCTGTTGTTGAAAGCAGTTGTGGGTCTCTTTTGAAGAGTCAGTTATGAACTTTAGATTAATAAAATACTTTATAGGTCTGTTACATAAGAAATTATTAATGACAAATATTTTTAAATATTAAAACAGTGGTCCAGAAAAGTTGCAGTTGTTCACCTCTACTCCACCCATTTTTACCATTTTTTGGTACTCCGTGAACATGCCTTTGCAATGCAGTATACTGCCATCTTAGAGTATTTTTGTGTATATCATACTTCTCAGCTTGTTAGTGTAATTGTTATGAGAAGCTAGAGAGAAAGCCATCCTAACGTCCAGGCATGGCATCTGGCTCTCTTTAATCCACAAGACCTACTGCTTTATGGAATAAAATTATTTTGGTTTGGTGACATTTATATTGGAATACTACCTCTTTAGTATTATATGAATCCTGAAAGAGAAGCAGTTCTTCTAGCATGTGCTTAAATCATACAGGCTATGATTTAGGCTATGACTCTGGGCAGTCTTTACCATCCTTTTGAAGGGACCGTTTTTTCCTTTTTGAATCTGCTGGAAGCTCATATTCTCATGATGATTATTGCCAGTTATGAGATTTGTTTAGCCAGAGTTCCAGGGTGAATTTGTCTGATCCGATATTTATTAGAACATTCAATTTATGTGAGAGTGGTAAAGAGGATCATACTGAATTGAAAATGAGACACATTTGTACAATGTAACTGCAGTCTCTTAAAATCTTTAAATTAGTGTGTTCCTCAAGCTCTATCATCACCAGATTCTTAACTTTTCTAACAGAAAAATGTCAGTATGAATGTAGTATGGACTCTCTGGTTCT